TTCACTCCAAATGTTGTTAATTACATCCCCAATACCAACATACCTATGTAAAATTTAAATAAAAACAAAATGCATTGATTTGCAAATCTCATAAACTTGTATTTTATTCACAACAGAATATACATGATAATATATTAAAAGTTTCAGCCTAAAAATTGTTCAAAATCTTTAGTTAAAAAAGTAATTTTGAATTTGATGGCAGCAACATTTCCAAAAAAATAAAACCGGGGCAAGAAGTGGTTGTAAAAGTAATAATGCTAATAAGAAACAGCCGAGGGAGCATTTTGCAGCTAATTAGGTCAATCAGCGACAGGTCAGTAAGAGGACCAAGTATGAAAAGAGCATTTTAGAAGTAATAAAAAGGACAGAGGGTCATCAGTGTATAAAAAAAAGTTGCATCTAAAAATGGTAGAATTTTTTCTGAATATATGTTTCAAAATCAAAACACTTGTACGACTTTAAATTTTTCATCATCTACAGTTCAAAATATACTGGAGAAATCACTGTGCTCAAAATTTGTAAACACAGTTCGTTACACCATCCACAAGCTCATAGGAAGAAGCTGTATGTGTGAACACCATCCAGTGTTCTGTGGACCATCGTTCATTTAAAAAGGACTCAGGCAAAGTGGAAAACGGTTCAAAATCTGAGATTCATTTTGTATGACGACACATCCTCACTTCAAAAACCTTCCTCTCTGATGGTATGGGGATGCATTTGTGTTTCTGGGCATCTTACAAATCAGAAAAGGCACCGTCAATCAGTAAAACGTATTTACAGGTTTTAGAACAATACATGAGCTTACTCGGCAAATAAATAAATAAATGAATAACTAAATAAATAAAATGCAGGAAAGATGACCCAGCATTCATCTTACTAAATGACAGGGGTGAAGCCAGAGGGTAGCTCGGGGTGGCCATGGCCACTGCTATGCCAGCAACATTTTGGCAAAGACATTTCTTTACTCTGAATGTTCATTTTAACTGAACTGCGCAAACATGTTATTCTCATGATGTAATTTTACTTGGTAGCTTCTGCTCATAAATGAGAGAATGACCAAGAAACACAATAAGATCCTCAGTCATTTTCTGGGTCAGTGGTTCCAGTTTGGCCAACCCCCATAAAAATTGTCTGACTCCGCCACTGTTTATGTTGTTAAAAAAAACGAGGGATGCTTCACAGTGGTATGACTTGTCCTAACATTTCTGAGATGCATTACTGCCAACAAATATAAACTTAAAGGACGTTTCCCCAAAGATTTAACAACCTTTTACTTCAAGTTTTTTATAAGCGATGGAGGATCAACCAAGGTCAGACTCCGGGCTAACGTCAACAAGACCAAGATCATGCAAATTGGGTACCCTACGGCTGGCACCCTGCCACTATCGGACCATACCAGATTGAAGGAGTGCAAAGGTTCACRTATCTGGGCAGCATTATAACCAATGATGGTGATGCAGAACACAATGTGGCGTGCCAGATTGGGAARGCGGGAGCTGTTTTTCAGCAGCTCCAACCAATTTGGATGTCCACAACYGTCAGCATGGCGACAAAGATCCACCTTTTTAACTCGATCATCTTCTCAACAGCCATATACGCATGTGAAACATGGAAGATGTCTTCAAAGACTGAAAGAAGACTGAACGTTGCCCATCAGTGGTGGTTAGGACAGATCCTGTGAGTCTCATATCGGGACAGCATCACTAACGAGGAGATCCATTGCAGAACAGCAACCCAGCAACACTGAACAACATTGTGACAGAGTGCCAATTAAGATTCGCTGGACATGTCCTCCGTCAGAAAGCAACACGCCTACTGAAAACCACCATCCAGTGGATACCACCATGGGGGAAGTGGAAACAAGGGCGTCCTTGAAGGAACTGGCACCCTACCTTCCACAAAGACCTCAAGGCCCTAGCCCTTTCATGCGTAGAGGTCACTACAGTGTACAGCTGTTTAAAAGTATTTATTTCTTTATATATGCCTGCAGTTTTGGGCAGTGTTGCATATAATCCACTCTAGTGGAAGCTATTACATCATCCCATAGAAAAAAATCCTATTGGCTGGTCATTGCAACGGGAAAAAATAGTCAGCAAAACCAAGATGGCTGACAAATGGGGAGAACAACCAAACACCTCAGCTATTTCAGTTTCTACCTTCCATAAAAAGATACCATTGCAGGTAAAAAAAAAAAAAAAAAAAGATTACATCAAGTAAAATCTAAGGTGAAATATTATGTAAAGGTTTTCCAAGTTTTGAGTTTATATTTGTAGAAAATACAGATTAAATGTCCACTCAATTGTACATCATGCATCACTGGCTACGTTTTAACTTCAATGCAATGTCAGTTATTACCGATGTTGTACTTGAAAATAATTCATATCCTATACAATTTTGGTTGTAAATCAACTTTATAGTATTACAATGTAATTTGATTTTTTTAAATATAAATCTTTATACACTGGCCAAAAATATATATTTATTTTACATGCTATAAGAGAGATTGCTATCAGAGAATATGCTCAAATTAGAGACTTAACAAGAGTATATTCTGATAAAAACAGTTACAGTTAAGATTCTATGAGGATCTACAGTTCAGAGTAGGGCTGCACTATATCAGGAAAACCTGCGATGTGTGATAACAGTGCTTAATATTGTGATGACAATATGACTTGCGATAAATGAACAAATACATAAATATGTAGTGTTGATGTTTTCCAGGTTCTGAGCAAAAAAACTAACAAAGAAACAAAACTAATCATTTTCATTCTAGTATGAATTTTTAAAAATATGAAGAGTAATATATGAAGTGATCCATTTGATTGGTGAAATACTTCAAGTTTCCGTTTGAGTGACAAAACTCATAAAAGCAAACAGTTTTTGAATTTGTTGCAATAGGCATATTGAACAAGCAGTTATTGGGAAGACGATATACATTTTCGATGTATTGTGCAGCCCTAGTTCAGAGAATGTGACTTGTGTCACACTATCCTCCTCAGTTCAGAGAGAATATATCTTTATTTTTTAACCTTGTTTTACATCCCTAAAGCTGAATAAAAATACCTAGTGAAAACATTATTTAATGTTTACGTTCATCAATAGAGCTCAAACAGAGAGGACTACAGAGTAGTGGAGGAACCACCATTCCAACAGAATACCATATTACAACTGTATAACTAAATTACAACTATACCTGTACAATTACCATGTTATTACCTTTATGTTTTTTACAGTACAAAATGCATGAAGTACACTTGGGTGTACAGATAATTATTTCTTTAAAAAAATAACGATAGAAAATTTTTTTCAAACCTTGTTTTTCATCCCTAAGGATGTTTGAAAACACTTAGTAAAAAAAATCCTGACTGAGTTTATCATAATTCATGCATGAAAGGGCTAGATATCAGCCCAGATGAGGCTGAAGAGCTCGCAAGACATCAACCCCAATGGAGACGTCTTGCCGCCCATTGTGCCAAAAAGCACAGAAGGAACTAAGTCTAAAAAAATAAGTTTTTGATAATATGTTTTAATGTGAATTTTTTATTTAAATTTGCGACTTATTGCGCGTTTTGTTGTTTGACATTTTACACAATGTCCCAACTTATTCAGAGCTGAGGTTGTATTACAGGTGAGACTCAGTTGGTAGAGCTGCCACCTCTCAGTGAGAGGGTCACAGGATCATTTCCTGTCTTGCAGCTATTCTAGGTTGAGATTGGATTTTCTTCCCGTGCACACGTGGGTTTTCTCTGAGTTTTCTCGTTTTCCTCCCACAGACCAGAAACATGCACGTAATATCTAATGCACATAATATATGTAGTATCTCTAAATTGTCCCATTGTGTTGGTGAGAGTGTGTCTCTGTGTCGCTGTGATGGACTTGCAGCCTGTCCAGAGTGAACCACACCTCTCACACAGTGACTGCTGCTGGATRTGGGCACCAGTAACCCCCACAACCTGGAAAGAAAGAAGTAAGTTAAAGATAATTTAAGGATGGATGGAAGTTTAAAATATCTAAAACATCACAAAATCTGGTGTAAACAGTAAATCTTTCTGCCTTCTTGATGGCGTGTCTCATAAAGGTCAGGAAATTAGACTTTTGTTTTCACTATACATTTTGCTTGATATTCTTGCAGTTTAACACCTTTGGGTTTAGCCGTTTCATTTGCTTTTTTAAAACCTATAATATCAAGTTTTTACTGACTTTCAAAGCAAAAACAAAATTTACATAAAAAATTGCGAGCAAAAATTGTTTTCTTGTCTCCTATCTTCCGAGAAAGTAGGTCTGATCATCTCTCTTTCTGACATCTTGTCATTGCACGCTTGCCTGCTCCATCAATTATTCTACTTAACACTTCCTGGTCTGTGAAGTAAACGACTTGTGCAGAATCCGCCTTGTCAACTTAAAATATGAGCTGTCTTCCTGCTTCCAACTTCTTTTTYTCTCTCTCTCTCTCTAGAACAGCATCATGCCCTTTAAGAAAGGCTGAGAACTGGATCATTTTTTAATTGATTAAAACTAAGATGTCTGCACGGCTCAGAGAGCACAGCTTCCCTTATTTGTTTATGGCAGCTGTCAGAAAGCGAACACAGGGGCAGCACCAGAAACCTGTGAAACACATGAAATGAAACTTTTTTTTAATTTTCAGAAATGTTACCTAGATAAGTCATAAACTGAATCACAGCATGTTAACCTAAATTTACAAAAAAGRAGCTATTTTTTGTTTGATTTGCTCATGAAACAGACTTTTTTTCCATGTGGAACAAACTGAATGAAGTGTAAATATGAAATGCCTAGAGCCAGACTCCACAGCCACACAATAGCACCCATGGTTACAAACACATGGCGACAGGACCTCATAGGCCTCATAGGTGGCATCCCTTGATGCTGGCTGTTTAGAACATAAGCCTCAAGAGTCAACCTTCCTGACAACATGCATATTGCCTTTTCTTTTCCACAAAATGATGAATACAATAAATAGAGGAAACGGTTGAGTCAGGACCTGCTGCTTGGTTTGTTTGCCATTAAGATTATTTTGGGTTTCCAGATTCCTGCAGGTAGAAATAAAAACAAACAAACAAACAAACAACTATGTAGTTCCACTTCCTGCCGAACCATCTGTTATTAGAAAGCCTATTTCTTGTGATGATGTATTTTCACGCATGGACCTAAACTCGCACCCATGTACACAAAAAWTTTTTTTTTCCCTGAATTAAGATTTTTATCAGCAGAACAAACCTTTTAACATACATTTTTAAAATGTGCATTCATGGATTATTTTTGGTCATGGCAAGGACTTTTAACCTTGTAGCTCAAGGCTTATGACTCAGATAGGAAGTGAAATAATTTTCATTTATGAAACAGAGGAAAGCAGATCACAGCAAACAGAGGACGCCATCTTGTGGCCACTGTGAGAAGTGCTGCTCAGCTCTGCACAAACTGTTCAATAAAACGACTTCCTTTTGATTTATTTTAAGTTTCTCTGGCCGAGRTCGTTTAAAGTCAAGTTGTGTGTTCCTCTTTGAATTTATATCCCTTTAAGTGCAAGTGTCTGTTCTGACAATAACTTTGCCTCTCTTTGTGTATTTGGTTTACCGCACAAATGATTTGGAGATAAAGAGACGTCAGATTGAGATGGTCTAGAGCAGTGTTTCCCAAAGTTGGGGTCGGGACCCAAAGTGGGGTCCCAAAACTTCAAGGTGGGGTCCTGAAAATATTTTCTGAATTAATTACACTTTTGCCTTAGTTGTTGCAAAGGAGTGAGGTTAGTGTATTTAAAATGGATAAATGTAGTATAAAAATATTGTTACTATGCCCATGTTTAGTTGACCTGATACAAATGTTTATCATACAAAAATAACTGGGGGCTCAGGTCTCTGCTACTGTTATTTTGTGGGTCAAAAGCTGAAAAGTTTGGGAACCACTGGTCTAGAGCATTGGTTCCCAAACTTTTTAGCTTTTGACCCCCAAAATACCAGCAGCAGAGACCTGTGACCCCAGGTGTTGTTGGTTGATAAACATTGTTTTCATGTCAAATAAACAAGAACATAATAACAATATTTATTACTCTCTTTTTGTCCGTTTTAAGTCCACTAACTTTACCCTTTTGTAGCAACAAAGGCAAAAAGAAATTGTTGGTAGTTGTAATGTTTTAGTGTAAGTAATTCAGAAAATCTTTTCAGGACCCCACCTTGATGTTTCAGGACCCCACTGTGGGTCCCGACCCCAACTTTGGGAACCACTGGTCTAGAGGAGGGACAGTGAGYATAATGGTAGAAAGAGGTTAGAGATGCAGCTGCCAGGAAAAAGACAAAGAGGGGATATGCAGTTAGAGAAGACATGGAGGAAGATGGACGACAGAGGATGCAGAGTGAAGGATGGAAGATGACTCGTTGTGGTGACCTCTGAAGAGAGAACAGCCAAGAAGGAGAAGGAGAAGAAGAAGGTTCTCTCTGGATTGATCTTTAAGTTCTGTTTTATTTTGTGAAGTCTTTGTTCTGTTTTCCAGTTCACCTGAGCTGGACATTCAATGTATTTTGTCTCCAAATCTTTTACATTTAGACTTCCCCTCCTTTAGCAGGCAAAACCCAAATCTGAATCAGGCACATTATTGTACTTTAAAGTGAAGTCGTGGTTATATTGCCAGAGTTTGAGTAAATATTCACAAAACTCTTTGTTTTTGTATTGTGTTTGGCTTTTATGTTTTCACTTTCTATAATTATACAGAACATTTACAGAGTTGCACTGATGCTCAGCTCTTAAATGCAGTGAACTGTTCCTTCTTGTGAAGAATGCCTTTTTTGATAAACAGCCGGTCGACCAGGAAGAGTGCACAGGAATTTATACACAAAAGCACTCAATGGGTGCACAAACTGCTCTGGCTGTTACATCACCAGACTTTGTTGGAGACCAGACAAAAGTTGGTCAAATGTTAAGTTTTAGGTTGATTGGTAGCTCAGTGAAAAAGACATAAAATTTTCTGAGTTTGCTGATCAGAATTGTCTGCCTTTAAGACATTTTCTCTGAAAATTCATACAGTGTAAAATCAGAAACAATTAAAAAACTGTGTTATTATAGTGTGATTTTCTTCTTTTGTTTTAGCAAGTGTTCCTTCACAAAATGCCGCGACTCACATCTTGTAATTTAGTCTAACATTTAACATGTGAAATGTTAAACCATCCACTTGTGACTTTTGTATTTCAACATGACCAATCATTAATGTTATCTGCTTTAAGTTAGGAAATGACTGTTGGGATTCTACTACTTTTTCTGTAGACACAATTTAAATGTTCTTGAAGGTTGGTTTGCATGAACTCCCTCTCTCTCCAACATATCAGCCAGGCAGCTGCTCACTTTGAATGTGACCAAAACCTGTTCCCAGTAGGGGAAAAAAAAAAAAGACAGAGGCTCTAATAAACGGATGACATGCAAAGCTGTGTAAACCTCATTTATTCATGCCAAGCTGAGGTGGACCAACAGCTGGTTGGACCGGGCCTGTCCCTCTGCTGTGATGTCAGCCAATAGACAAGAGGCGGCTGCGATGCGCATGTTTGCAGTCCCCTGAACGCACCAGCGACGCGCATTTTGACAGATTTCCAGACAGGGTGGAGAGGAGCGTTCAAGGAAGGAAAGGAGACTTGCTGGATTTCCATCATCTGCTCCTCATCCTCCGCATCCAACCGAGGTATATTTATATATAGAGAGAGGTTTTCCCTCAGTCCTCTGTCTCATMCTTTGCATCTTTTATTATCGGGGTGGAGGATTAATGATGTTTATCTCCTAACGCACAGAAGACAGCATATCCAGGGCGGTATACGCTGTTATATAAAAATATAAATATACACCCCCCTCCCCTATTCGAAGGAAAAATAGCAGCGCAGGCTCTTTGTTGAGGATCTGGACATGAATTCGGCGGAACAGACGGTAACATGGTTGATCACGCTCGGGGTGCTGGAGTCGCCGAAGAAGACCATCTCGGACCCGGAGGCTTTCCTGCAGAGCTCCCTGAAAGACGGGGTGGTCTTGTGCAAACTGCTGGAGCGGCTCAGCCCGGGCTCCACGGAGAAAGTAAGGGCAAAAACACATCCTCTCCCCCCACGTCACACACACACACACACACACACACACACACACACACACACACACACACACACACACACACACACACACACACACACACACACACACACACACACACACCAGCCCTCCTCTTCGCAGTCGGCGCGTCTGTACGCGCGGCTGTCCACATCCGCGACACCGACGCGGTCTGTTGTCCGGCCTCTCTTTTTGTCCACTGATCCATGAGACCATTCCTTTTGTAGGTCACCGCGGTTCTTGTTATTGTCTGCACTAAGCTTGCACATATGTTCCCTGCGCGGAAAAAAAGGGGCCTGTTTTCTCTAATAATCAAATTTATTAGATGTGTTGGGGAAAATAATCTCTTAGAATGAAGCTGTCGGTGCGGGTCTGGTTGTTGTTTTTACATCTGAAGCGGCTGCTTTCAGTTTATAATCCATGTTTTGCATGTCTGTTACACTAATATAGGCCAGGGATGAGAGGCTATCTGTTCTCTGATGATGAGCCATTGATAGCAAATGCTCCATTTTTAAAGAAACAGTACAGATAAAAAAAAAGCTTGAAAGAACCTATTTACATACGTGGCGTCATGTTTTCTCTTTTGCATATGATGAGAAGAATTAAACAAATCAACTGATGCTGCTTTATTTGTTTATTTATTTATGAAATCTTATAGAAATGTTGTCTCTTGTTTTCATTTTCTGTAAAATGTTAGTAACAAACACAAAGCCTCTCTCCAAAATACATATTGTGTTCTAGTTACTTTGAAAACAACAACAACAACAACAACAACAACAACAACAACAACAACAACAACAACAACAACAACTTTTTTAAAGGTTCCTAGTATGTAAGAGTTGTTTCCACCATCGCCTTTGCTTAAGAGGGATTGCTTAAAGATTAGTCACAATCAGCTTCCTTAGATAAACTTTTCAGTAACTGATTCTGATTGTCTTAATTGGACTGAAATTACTGATTGGACTTTATTTAATGTTTGTTTTGAACTTATTTAGAATGCATGTTCATCATGTGATTTGGACATTTTTGTATAAGAGGAAGCCTGTTGTGAATAYACACTATTTTATCACACTAAATTGAACAGAACTGATAGTCACTCATTGTTAATGAGATTGGTGTTTAGTGTGTGGCCAATTTCATCGTGGCTACTTGTTTTAGCTGAAATGGGTAAGAGCCATAAACCAGTCTTGTATAAAGTACCTCAAAGTGATACTATTACCACAAACTTACTTTGGTAAAAAAGGTCTCCTCTAAGAATATTACTTCAGTAAAATTCTTGAAATATCTGATATTTTGACGTAACATGGATTTAAGTAAAAGTACTGAGTAAAAATGAGCAGTTACATTTTCCACAATGACATTTACTGTGAGGTGACCCCCCCCCCCAATTTATTTTCTAAAGGTCAAAATGACTAATGTTGATGTTAAAAAATTAGGATGCACTAGCTGTTTCAGTAACACACACACAC